TACAAATCAAAAAACTTATAGGTCACAAATTATTTTACGGTTACAGATTAAAATTTTTATAAGTCACAAATCAAAAAATTAATAGGTTACAGGTCACAAATCACAAATATTATGAGTCACAACTTATTAGTCAGTCACAAATTATTAAATTATCGATCACAAATTAATAATTTTTTAGGTCACATATAATTTCATGGTTACAAATTATTTTTTTCATTTGTCACATATTGTTTATTGGTCACAAATTAACCAATTTAATGTCACAGTCGACCAAATAATTGGTGACCACCAACAACATTTACGACCTCCGGTAGCACCACCGCCTCCTGCGCGTCGAACCATTACCACCACTGCCAACCACCGTCGCCGAACCACCACCTCACGATAACTGGGAACATCGTACTCTCTATCTCTTCACCACCACCACCACCTCCTCCTCACCACCACAACCACCAACAAACCACCAATTTCACTACAAAACCACCACCACACAAAACACCACACCACCCCAACCGCCTATCTACAACCACTGCCACAAAAACCGTCAGATCCACCACCACAAACCCCGCCTGAAACCACGGCATCACCACCAAAAGGCCTATAAGCCTGGAACACTAGCTGCAGCGACTAAGATCTGATCATCCCGACGATTAAGCCGCAGACTGGCCATCTCTCCTCACCTAGTCAATGGTTTTCATGGAACAACACCATCAAAAACAAAATCATGAATGTGCCACTCAGATCTTTTTTTTTTCTTATTGCAGGCAGCCACTCCCACAAACGACGAATTACAACACACATCTCCGGTGCTCTATCGCGGTGGTGGTCCGAAGTTGGGTTGCCCGGGCTCACATAGTCGACTATGAGGGTGCAGCATAGCAGTGACGATGCCGCTGCAGCAGCGGCGAGGGAGAGGACAAAGAGAGAGTCGAGAGAGAGGAGTGCAGATGAGAGGAAGATGTGAGTGATAAAAATTTAATAATTAGGGTTTTAATATTATTATAATTATTAAAATATAAAATGATTACCTGATTTTTGAATAAGTAAACTTTAAACTTAATTTTTGAAAATCAATCTTTAAAAACTTGGATTTGTGTAATTTCCTCTTCTTTTTTCTTTATTTGATATGTTTGTCCTATTGAATTTTTAACAAACAAGATTTTAATGAGTCAGTCATTTTGTAATGTATCATTTAATGAGGAATGTTGTAAATAATATGTTTATTAGTACATGACAATTACACCCTACAATCCTAGTTATTATTATAAGTGTATCTCTTTTGAAAATTGCTACTTGTACATCACAAGATGTACATCGGCGTGTACACCTCCCTCACATGAGGGTGTGATCCACTTGTGTAAAATATTTTTTTATTAAAGTGGGTCCCACTCCCATGTGAGGGGGGTGTACACCCCGATGTACATTGTGATGTACATATAGCAAAATCGATCTCTTTTAGTCCTAACTTTTCCCTATAAATATGGGGTTCTAATTCTCAACAAAATACACACAAGTCTATTCATTTATTTGCTTTCTTCTATTTTCTCTCTAATTTATAGAAGGAACGATATTAAAGATATATAGACCTCAAAAAAAAATTTAGAACTATATTAAGAATCATTGCCCACACTTCGTTTGTCCCATTTGTGAAATTTCCACGCAAAGAACCACGGAGAGGAAGTACAAGTCCATAAAAATTGAATTTTCATGGTATGTTAATCTTTTCGTGTCTAGCATATCAAACAAGTTAAGGGGAAAAAAGAAAAAAAGAGTAGAGTCTGATTTTATGTGGGTAATTTCATCCGCAGTCTATATAATTTTTACATGACAACTATAATTGAAAATAGAATTTTAATGTCTTTATATTTAAAAGATTAAAAAACGTATATTTTTGAATGTTATAGTGAGAAGTCGTCATGTCTTAATATTCTTATGAATGTTATAGTGAGAAGTTGTCATGTGAATACGTGGAAGAGATGTTGACTGTCAATTAAGTTCCTTTTTTGAAAATCAATTTAGAATACAACAAGTCATAGAGTAATAAAATGTGAAATTAAAATTAAAGTCAACTCAATTAAAATGAATTGAAATTTATTAAACAAATTAATATTTCGTTCAAAGTTCACTAACCACAAATAGTTGTTGGAAATCAGTTAATCATTACCACATGCATAGTCCAAATTTAAAGTATGAACGTGTTGAAATTTTAGTTAAAAAATAAGGTATGAACGCATTGAATTTTAATGTATAGGCCATTGAATGCCATGTGACTTATTTTCGTAGCATTATTAAATTTCTTACTTACCCTCTATTTGTCTGTTTCTATTATAAATTTGTAGCTCTCTTAACCAAAGGATTACATTAGATTGAATTGATGAGAACCATTATAATTATAGTTATGATCAAGTCAAGGTCAAAATCACAATCGTCAAATAATATGATTAATTTATGTGATTAATAATTAATTAATAAAGAAAAGTCAAGAAATAAACTTTTTTTAAATGGTAAGTTTTCATAATAATGTCCAAAGTGCAAATTGACTTCTTTTTTATTTTTTATTTTAAATTCGTCCCTTTATACATCAAATATCTATTTTAACAATAACATTATTAACTTGAATTTTGTCATTTGTACATTCTTCCCTGGACATCACTGTTGATATTGCTTTTGTTTTCCAAAAATTGTGAACAAAAAACCGTTTTTCTTTTTAAATTGGCGAACGACAATTTGTCCAAATTTGGTGTACACCAAAGTCTATATCAATGTATTATCTTTCACTCTCCTCCTCAATATCAATGTCAATGTCAATTGGTTCCTTCCAACGGTGAGCAATTTAATTTTTTATCTAACTAAATAATTATTTTATAATAAAAACTATAATCATGTTCAGATTTTTATTTATTTATTTATTTATTTTTTTGTAAGTGAACACCAAAAAAATATTTTATTAATGACATGTTTGGTAGAATGGTTATTAACGTGTTTAATTGGACAAACAAAACAAGGCTATCACGTACAAGCTCCTCGGGTTTTATTTTATTAACAATTAAAATATTTGGACAAACAAAACAAGGAATTAAGAATATTTTATTTTCTTTTTTCATTATCATTGGCATATTTCTTTTTTTGTTTTTTTTTTGTTATTTTATTTAATGTGAAGTAAGATTATAATAGTTTTGATGATTAACATTAAATTTTTAACAATTAAATTATGCGAAAGAAATATTTGGACGTTCATGTTAAAAAAATAAAAAAAAAAAAATCATTGAGAATCAAATCAAAAAATTATTGTATACATTAAAAAAAAAACAATAATTAAAGTAAACTGACCAGGAATAATCTCTAATATAAAGTCAAGACACAACTAGTCAACGAATCGTATGTGCACAGTGCAACTACAGCTGTAGTCATAGTCAGGACCACAAATTTATTCAGTACAACAAATTTTAATTAGAATCAATGTGTTTGAGCCTTTCTTTTTTTTTTTTAAATGAATTTTGGAATAGCGAATTTTGAAAAAAGTGTAGTTAAAATGTAAAAATAAAATAAAATTGAATTATGTGCAAAATAATTTATTGTAAGAATGAATGATTAAAAATGAGTTTAGAAAAAAAAATGAAATTTTAAATAATTAAGATTAAACTGGGGCTTTATTTCTGGATTTTTAAATGGAATAGAATGGTCAAATTTTCAAAATTAATTAAAGTTGAACTCGAACATAACTAACAACATTAATCCTGAGGGGTTGCTCAATTAATCAAGTCTTGAGTTTGCTCATCAATGGTCACAAGTTCGAGTCCCCTCAGGGCCACTGAGATGAGTATCCGATCGTAAACTTTAGGGTCCCGTGAAATTAGTCGAGGTGCGCACAAGTTGGCCCGAATATCCACGGTTATCAAAAAAATAATAATAACTAACAACATTTGATTCTATTACGATAGAATATGAGTAGTTTTAATGCCAAGTAAATTGGTGGTTCAATGCCTAAATAAACAAACCACGTGCATGGCTCCAATAACCTAATCAAACACCAAATATCTCAAAAATCACAAACGTTAAATAATTAGCTCAGTTCGGTTTGATTAAAAATAATTTCTTAGTAGATTTTTATAAAAGTCAATAAAATTTGTGGCTGAAAACTCGTAGATTTCTTAAAATATGCAATTAAAATTTATTATTGATTCTGACTTAAGATTAAATTTAAATTTAAACTTATATCAAACATGTGCTTAGTAAGTAATAATTAATTATGTCTTCTTAGCTCATATTTGATATAATTTCTTTAAAACTCATTTTCAATCACATTTTTTTTCAATAACATAAACTTTTACAAGTAGACCCAATTTTTTTTATTACTTTTTAACAACACGCTCTTCAAAATAATTACTTTTCACAAAATTTAGCCCTCTTTTGGACCACCTTAAAGTCTCATTAAAATGAAAAATATGATCGTTATCTATCATATCAACATTTAAATTTAGCTCATATTTGATATAATTTCTTTAAAACTCATTTTCTATCACATTTTTTTTCAATAACATAAAGTTTTACAAGTAGTCCCAATTTTTTTTATTTCTTTTTAACAACACGCTCTTCAAAATAATTACTTTTCACAAAATTTAGCCCTCTTTTGGACCACCTTAAAGTCTCATTAAAATGAAAAATATGATCGTTATTTATCATATCAACATTTAAATTCAAATTTTCTATCTCTTTGTGAGCCCCAATAACGGTTATATTTTTCATTCTCATTCTACGATAAGGTGGCGGACCTTACTCTTAAAGAATTTATACAAAAAAGGCTATTAATTGCGGGACAGGACATGACTTGCATTTGTAGGTTGTTCCCATTTTAAACACGTGCAATACATTTACTCCTACCATCGCATATATAACAGTTAACACTGAAGAGCTCTCCATCTTTCATCAGTCTCTCTCGTGGTCTCTTAGATTTCTCTCTCTGAAATAACACAAAGATATACCTAAAACGACGTCGCAAAATGAATGCAGCTGAATCCTTGGTGGCCATGGTGACAAGCTGGTTAACACCAACTGTTCTCTTCTGCATCTTGAACCTCACAGTTGTTACCATTTTCATGACTTCATTCCTCAATAAACTCGGTCATCACGAGGACAACTCGCGACCACAGCTCGTCCGAGTTCCATCTCTTGTCGAACGAGTCATGTCCATCAACAACTCTCTCTCCCGCACCGAAAATCTTGATTCGTTCGACTCTGCCGCCCTTTACACAGCCCCTCCTCAAGAACCAACCCATCATGAGAAGTCTGAAGCTAAAGTCGAGGATATGATTCTCAATGAATCTGTGAAGGATATTCACGTGACGAGGAGTAGGTCTGACACGTGCCTGAAAGCTCCTACAAAAAGGGTGTTAAAGAAGTCGGCTAGTGAGAAGGTGTTTTTGGCTGAGCCAATGGGAGAGGCGGATCGGCGGCGGCCGGTGACAGTGAGAGAAATGACGTCGTCTAATGGACCGGATGATGAGGCTGTGGATGCTAAAGCTGATGATTTTATTAACAGGTTTAGGCAGCATTTGAAATTACAGAGATTGGAGTCCATTTTGAGGTACAATGAAATGATCAACAGAGGTCTCCAGAGTTAGAAGCGTATGTTTTAGGACAGACGTACCCTTAGTTGCTAGGATTTCTTTATGCAAACTTTATGGGCTGTTTAGTCACTTTCTTGTTGAATCTCATTATTGATAATAATGCATTAATAAAATGAATCTATTTTTTCTTATTGAATTAAATTTCACGTCGATCTGTTCAATTATATTTCTTTGTATTTTGGAACCACATCAAAATCATGCAAGTATTGTATATTAGTATAATAATACATAGGGTGGATATTTTTACTTGAACGAGAATCAATTCCAAAAGAAAGTTTGGAACTGAAATCCAGAACTAATCAAGTCCCGAATGGTTCTTAGTTCTTGAACCGAAATCTTGGGTATCCAGATCTGTAATTGATTTTTACAATTTACTTAACCTGAACTTTTCTTAGATATAATGAATTTATGTTGGGAGAACAACAATTACTGGGTACTTAAAACAATTAAAGGAAGAAAATGTCTAGATGAAGGCAATGATAGAAGAGTTGCATCACCATCGAGGTGTCTCTAGAAGCAAAAGGAGTCACGTTTAGCGAAGTCCTTCGAGGGCCATCTTAGGTGAAAGTCGCGAATCTCAGAATAGTTCACCATATCACTAAAGTCATCGCTTACAGTCTTTGGTCCAAGTGCTCGAATGACTAACTTTGCAGGCGAGAAGAGAGACTTTCATGATTCATCAACATCTTTGACATAATTGGTGAGGGCAACGATCTCTCATGAGTACCTCCTCAAAATCCTAGCAATTATTACATCTACCATAGCGAAGCTCACCGATCATGGTATAAAAATCCCTTATCCCTGATCCTAGATCCGATGATGAGAAACCAATATGCTCCGCGCTTGAGCGATGATGATTACAATCTACCATTTCACGGGGAGATCAAGGGGATATTTTTTTTGCCAAACTTTGTCATGCAAAATAGGCCAATTCTCATGGTATGGTGACCTAGTGGATTACATGAACATCTACAAGGCAAAACTACATGATTAGAACTGCGCTGTTAATTTTAGGAACTTCCATACCAACCTGAAATTGGATGCCAAAAGGTGGTACAAAATTGAAGTTGAATAGCATACGGAACTGGCCAAGTTAAAGAAAGAGTTCACTAAATAGGGATGAACCGTGTGACACTTTTGTTGTTAGCTAAGGAATGTTTTTTGCTTTAACTTATCCTGTGCATTTTGTACTAAATTATAATCTATATTATAAAGTCTAACTTAAGAAAGTTTGGACCTAGTACAAGTTAGCATGATGTCAAGTATGGTTTAGTGGTAGTAGGTATGATGGTGATGGAAAAACACTTTTGAATTGTACTCAAGAATGGCTATATATGCCAGCTAGTTAACACCATTTTTAATTAATGAAATATCTGTTTTTCCTCCTCTTTGTGTGTATATTTTCATCAGTGGTATCAGAGCCTATATAGGTCTTTGAAGATGCTGAAAAACCAGCAGCCTTAGAGAAAACCAGTGAGCAACCTTCATGTACAGTTGAGTGTTTTTTTTTGGCAAGTGAGTGATATGGCTTCAAGTAGTTTTTCTGGCCCATTACCTTCTGTTTTTACAAGAGAAAATTATGATTTTTCGGCTACAAAAATGAAAGCCTACCTGAAAGCATATGATCTCTGGGAAATCACAGAAACTGGAGTTGAACCACCACCATTGAGGGCTAATCAAACCATTGCTCAGTTGAAGCAGCATAGTGAAGAGATAGCCAAGAAGTTTAAGGCCCTTTCTTGCATTCAATCAGCCGTCTCAGATGCCATTGACACAAGGATTATAACTTGTGAAACAGCAAAGGAAGCATGGGACTGGTTGAAGGAAGAATTTCGAGGCAATGAAAGGACCAGACAAATGCAGGTGTTGAACTTCAGGAGGGAGTTTGAAACTTTGAAAATGAAGGATTCTGAAATGGTTAAAGAATATGCTGATAGGCTGATGAAGGTAGTTAATCAAATAAGGCTACTAGGAAGAGAGTAGTGGAAAAAGGTCTTGATAAGTCTGCCAGAGAGGTTTGAATCCAAGATTTCTTCTCTTGAAGACTCTAGGGACTTGGCTAGCATCTCCTTGGCTGAACTTGTAAATGCTCTTCAAGCCACAGAATAAAGAAGTTTGTTCAAGCAAAAGAGCAGGTTGAAAGAGCTCTGTTTGGAAAAGGAAAACAAAAAGCTCAAACCAGTTTTGGAGGGAAGAAAACACAAAACCAAAAGAAGGAAGTAGAAGCTAAAGGCTCAGGCAAAGATACTGAGTATCCTCACTGCCCTCATTGCAAAAGGAAAGACCATTCTCTCAAATGGTGCTGGTTCAGACCTGGTGTGCAATGTAGGTCTAGCAAGCAGTTTGGACATGTTGAAAAAGTCTGCTAGAACCGAAAGGAGAAGAAGGAGTTGCAGCAGGCCAAAGTTGTAGAAGATCAGTCTGAAGAGCATTTATTTTCAGCCATAAACTACACAGCTTTCAGCAGGGTTGAAACTTGGTTACTTGACGGTGATTGCACTCACCATATGACTTCAAATCCATATATCTTTGTGGAGTTAAATGATGCTTACAGATCAAAGGTGAAAGTGAGAAATAGAGAGTATGTGGAGGTGAAAGGAATTGGCAAAGTCACAGTGCAGATGCCAACAGGTAATAAGTTCATTTCTGATGTCTTGTATGTACCTAACATTGATCAAAACCTGATTAGTGTGGCCAATTAATTGAAAAGAACTACACCTTAATATTTAAGGATAGTTGCTGCACTATTTTGGATCAAAACAATATGGAATTGTTGACAGTAGAAATGAGGTATAGGAGTTTTCCTTTGGAGTGGAAGAATGTTAACTCTCATGCCCTCACTAGTACATTGGTTGAATCTTTATTGTGGCACAAACATTTTGGGCATGCCAATTAAACCTCACTCAAAATCTAAATGAACTAGAGTTAGTTGAAAATATGCCAAAACTGAGTGATTATGCTATTGTTTGTGATATTTGTTAATTGGGAAAACAAACTAGGCTGTCTTTTCCTAAAAACCAGTTTAGAAGAGCACAAAACAAGCTATAGTTGGTTCATTCTGATGTCTATGGCCCTATGATAACTTCAACCTTGAATGGCAGTAGATACTTTGTCCTCTTTATTGATGATTTAACTAGAATGTGTTGGGCTTATTTTCTTAAGATGAAGTTTGAGGTGCCTGGAGTATTTTAGAAATTTAGGAATCTTGTGGAGAATGAAAGTGACTGCAAGATAAAAGCTATAAGAACAGATAATGGAACTGAATACACCATCAATCAGTTTGACAAATTTTGTAAGGAAATAGGAATCAAACACCAGCTAACCATTCCTTACTCACCTCAGCAAATTGGGGTATGAAATATCAGGATAGCTATGGAAATGGCAAGGTGTTTGATGTTGGAAAAGAAAGTACCAAAATGATTTTGGGCTGAGGCAGTAAATACATCCATCTATCTACACAACAGGTTTCCTACAAAGGCTTTGGATAAACTAACTTCCTATAAAGCTGGGCATGGAGTTAAACCAAATGTATTTCACTTGAAGGTGTTTGGAAGTGTATGCTACATTCACATATCATATGTAAAAAGGGACAAGCTGAGTCAAAATGCTGAAGCAGGTGTCTTGGTTAGCTACTGTGACATTGCAAAAGGATATAGAATCTATAATCCTCAAACCAAGAAAATAGTTTCCAGCAGAGATGTAAAGGTTGATGAAAACTCTTCATGGAATTGGGAGTCAAGTTCTGTGAATAAAATTGAAGTTCTAAGACTGACTCCACAGGATGTAGATGCTGATATTAATGAAGAGGAAGCTAAAGTTGAGGCTGAACCTGATGATAGATCAGATTCAGATAATGAAATGATCAGAACTAAATCACTTGAAGATATCTATGCTACCTGCAATATAGCAGTTCTAGAGCCTTCAACTTTCACTGAAGCAGCTGATTCTCAAGCTTGGTTAGATGCAATGAAGGAGGAGTTTAAGGTAATTGAAAAGATTGGAACGTGGATACTGGTTGATAGACCAAACAATAAGAATGTCATTGGAGTAAAATGGGTGTATAAGACTAAAATGAATGCTGATGGTTCGTCAACAAGTTCAAGATTAGGCTAGTTGTAAAAGGCTATGCTCAGTAATATGGAGTTGATTTTACTGATATCTTTGCTCCAGTGTCTAGGTTTGAAATAATAAGGTTGCTGTTTGCACTACTGCTCAATCAGAATGGAGGATATACCAGTTAGATGTGAAGTCTGCCTTCCTGAATGGGCACTTAAATGAAGAAATTTTCATTGAGCAACCCGAAGGCTTTATCATAGATGGAAATGAGGATAAGGTGTACCTATTGAGGAAAGCCTTATATGGTTTAAAGCAGGCGCCAAGAACTTGGTACAACAGAATAGATAAATACTTGAGCATCATTGGTTTCAACAAAAGTATCAATGAGCAAACACTTTACATCAAACAAGTGGAGGAGGATTCGATAAAAGGATATAGAATCTATAATCCTCAAACCAAGAAAATAGTTTCCAGCAGAGATGTAAAGGTTGATGAAAACTCTTCATGGAATTGGGAGTCAAGTTCTGTGAATAAAATTGAAGTTCCAAAACTGACTCCACAGGATATAGATGCTGATATTAATGAAGAAGAAGCTGAAGTTGAGGCTGAACCTGATGATAGATCAGATTCAGATAATGAAATGATCAGAACTAAATCACTTGAAGATATCTATGCTACCTACTATACAGCAGTTCTAGAGCCTTCAACTTTCACTGAAGCAGCTGATTCTCAAGCTTGGTTAGATGCAATGAAAGAGGAGTTTAAGGTAATTGAAAAGATTGGAACGTGGATACTGGTTGATAGACCAAACAATAAGAATGTCATTGGAGTAAAATGGGTGTATAGGACTAAAATGAATGCTATGGGTCGTCAACAAGTTCAAGATTAGGCTAGTTGTAAAAGGCTATGCTCAGCAATATGGAGTCGATTTTACTAAT